CCAACAACCATACCAAAGAATCTTTTACTACACAGAAGAAAGTAAACTTCATCTCCTACTTCAAGAGATAAGTTTTAGCAACTGAATTACGGAGAATCTCCTACTTCACAAAAGAGTCACCGTCTTCTACTACACAAAAGCAAAAATTCAGAAACTGTAACAAAGAATTTTATATTACACAGAAGAAAGTAAACTTCATCTCCTACTTCAAGAGATAAGTTTTAGCAACCGAATTACGGAGAATCTCCTACTTCACAAAAGAGTCTCCGTCTTCTACTACACAGAAGCAAAAATTCAGAAATTGTAACAAAGAATCTTCTACTACACAGAAGAAAGTAAACTCTGAATATAGTATTCGACCTTTGAGGTATTTTTCTTCTACACAACAGCAGATATCCAAGAACTCGATATCTTATACTTCTTCATTACAGAAGCATCACTCCATCTCATATTTACACATAAGAAGCGTTCAGTTGAGGAAAAAGAGTCTGAAATGGTTTTCCAAACATAGGCTGAACCTTGGAAAAGAATCCAAACAAGTACCAAACTTCATACTCCAACCCCTTGCAGTATTCAATATCCTAACTAAGTGCCCTAGAATGGGAGACACGTTTAGCATTTGTATCAAAATCAGGAGAGAAATTTGTTGGAGGGTGACCCAAAGCACGAAGCTTAATCAACTGAAGCTTCCAACATACGAGGAAGTAACTGGATACAAGGAATTGAGATTGTATTAACTCGCTTCTCAAGCTTTCTTTGTCTCTGCTGGTAAGTTTTACCTCATGAGTTCACTTGGAGACCAGAAACCAGCTACTAGCAAGATAATCTGAGAACACGAAGCCCTGGGTGAGACCCACAAAACTATCTCATGATTTTAAAAAAAAGGTCCCATAGGCTGGGGATGAATGACAGCTCCTGTTGAAACAACGTATACAAGATCACTTTTCTTTGCTGACACTGTCTTCAAAACTTCCGTACTTGCCTCAACTAAGTCTTCAACTGGCTATTTTCCCCTTGAGGATTTCTGACTACATGCCATTGCTTGCATATCCCCAATAAACAGCCCCATCTGATTCTTTTCATAACTTGAATCTTCTGAGTACTTGCTATGGATGCATGAAGATGCATGAGGTGAGTGAGAGAATTCCAGATTTGGACACCACAGTCTCCGGATTGATATCGTTTTAGACCTTGTCTCTGGATGACGCACTATCTTCAATCGAATGATCAATTACCCCATAATAATATGCGTAGAAGATTCTTTCAGGAGAACAAATGAATGTTTTTCCAAGCGAATCGATATAAACTGCATCATCAGTATTACTACGCCACAAAAAACTAATATAGTCTGTCTTCTATCAAAACAAAAGAGACATCCACCTGGTGATAAAGAATGTGGCAATTGGCCAAAAAGGAATTGGACCTTTGGAAGAGGCGCCAAACTGGTGTTGGGCTTTATATTTCAACCCCTTTGTAGTCTTCAATATCAAAATCGGGTACCCCAGAATAGGGGATGCATCTAGTATACATATTGTAATCAGAAGAGATGTTTGTGGGAGGAAGACCTCAAAAATTAGAGCTAGGAAAAGCCAGGAATAAAAGGATGTAATGCATTGGGCTCGTATCAGCATGCTCATCAGGATTCTTCTGTCTTGGCTTAAAAGCTTTGCCCCATGAATTCACTTGGGGAATAAAGACTGGCTCTTGTTGAACAAATTAGGGAACACAAAGTTATGGAGGATGCCCCTAATTAAAAGGTATGATGTCCCGACGTGGTAACCACATCTGACGTTGGTTAACAAAAACAAAGCACTGATATAAGATCCTACAGTAAATGGGAACCATCTATTGATGATATGTTTCAAGAACTCAGGATTGCGTAGCACTCCATAGTTGGAAGAAAATCCCAAAAGAAGATGAGGTGAAGAGAGAACTTGATGCAGCCATAAGTTTATTGATCATCATTTGAGCTTCCATGACCTGGTTCATCTTGAGTCTTTAATCAATTATCTTCCTGTTTGAAGAAATTTCTGACCACGGGCCAAAGCTTGTATGTATACCATATGGAGTTATTCCCTAACTGATCCCTGAGCATGTGGTAGTAAGAATCACGTTGAACCTCTGAGGAGAACAAATGGTCTGAGCAAGAATCCCCAATCTTTGAGTACCTGTTATGAACGCGTGAATATGCATAAGGTACATGAATGAATGCCATGTCATGTTCTGTCATTTCTAAGGAATTCACGTGCTTTGATTTTGATTTTGCGCGAGTAAGGGATGGAAGAGTTTAGCACAAGACTTGCAAATATGATTCCTTGGAAATAATAGAACATGTATGTTAAGCATATGGTTAGCCATGTTATGAATGCAAAGGCGTGAGATCAAAGAGGATCAAGGTTCCATCATTTCGAATATGATTGTTGCACTATTCTGAACCATGTGAGTATCATCAGATGAAATGTCTGATATAGCTTCTGCACATATAAGAACCAAGTACCATGTAGATCACTGATTGTACGAGATTAATGCTTCCGGAACATCGGATACTGTTGAGCATTTCTGAATAATGCCGGGAATACTAAGATTGAAGGCTTGAATGAACCTCCAAGTAAACAAGTCAGAAAATCAGAAAATAAATTTGAGAACCATACGATCATCAACAGGATATAGCATCTGCATAAAGTCATAACAGAAATCCAGATCATAGCCATTAGAACCAATAGTTACCGTCTGAGCGTAGTCACCATCTGAGTATGAGTAACCATCTGAATGTAGTCACCATCTGTACCTGTAATAAGAATTCCCTCCCCGCTCACGGGTGAAAACTAGGTCAGGGTAAGGCAATGGTAACTCAGAATCGAGGGTACTCCTGAAAAACTATCGATGTATCACCTACGTGAAAATGATAGCTCCTCATTTGTACCTCATCTGAGCGTGGATGACATGGTGGCGATAGTGAGACCTAAGTCAACTAGCCGTTCATGTTCCACTCTATTCCTAGGGTTCCTATGGTATACAACTTTGGCCTGGGTATTAGGCCTTTTACCTCATAGTAACACCCACCCAATAAGAAGCAGATCCAGTACAACAATAGTATATGGAAGACGGTAAAATGCAATGCATACGTATGCTCAAATATATACAAACTGAATTAATAAACTGAAAGCGTAAAGATAAACACCCAAATGAAAGAAAGCAAGAGCTAGGAGCGACTCCGGGATGGACCATCATTTGGTCGACATTATCCCCAGTGAAGTCTCCAGCTGAAACAACCGGCTGAAAATCATTAAAACAATGAAGTCGCCATCGAACGTCTTTTATCCCACATGTAGGGAAAGGTAAACATCGAGAAAACCTGAGAATGGAGAAGTCACGGTCTTGCGAATGAGAGATCGGGTAAGGGAGTCTGTTACGCGAGGGGAAGGTATTAGCACCCCACACGCCCGTAGTACTCTACGGTATCCGCTCTTGTTGTCTATCTTATGGGTGTGTTTAATCTATGCTTACTGTTTAGTATACTACTGAAGAGAGAATGCATGCAAAAGGAATGAGAAAAGAATGTAGGGAAAATGAAAAGTTGTGCTCGCTCGGGCCCTACCCCAATGCCTACGTATCCCTTTTAAGGAATCAGAGCAGCCGTAGTTCGGCTCTTATGTTTTTGTTGGTTTGTATTTTTTTTAATGAACAATATTAACTTCGCCTTCTACCGCAACTCGACCTTAGGAGACTTACGCATCAGCACAGAAGTGAATTAACATGTTCTTTCTGAAAAGAGTTTGAAAGAAAAGCCCGAAGGCGCAAAAGAGTTTGCATTGGTTGATATCTTTTACCTTGAAGAAGGATTTGGAAGTTGTTAGATGTTTTAATATTTTTCAAAGAAAAAGGAAGTTTTTGTTTTAATGCATGGATGCAAAAGAAAGAAAAACATCTAAGGGAGACTAGTATAAATCTATCCCTAATGTTATCGTACAATGGTAGCCCTACTTCAAGGATGAAAGGGGAAGTTTCTACCTAATGTTAGCATGCATGGTTTGCAATCTAAGGTCTATCTTGCGTCCGAACGGAGCAAGCGCATCCTAAGGGAACATGGTATGTACAAGGATAAAGTAAGCAAGCCAGCCAACAGAGCACACCTAAAGAGATCTTGCCTAGGTTAACATGTCGAAGAAAGTCTAACAAAACTATCTTATAGGGAACATGCGATGAAATCAAAGTCGTGATCTCAATTTCTAAATCGAGTGACTCATCGATCGGCAAGAAATGACAGAAAGCGATAAAATCCTATAGGGAGCATGCACTGAGAGCGAAGTCGTGATCTCGATTTCTAAATCGAGTGACTCATCGATCAACGAGAAAGTAAACAAATACAAGCACAACACATATAGCAAATGAAGTGTGGAATGCCTGCTACAGGTCTTTAAACAGCGACTTCAAGCGCACGCTCTTTATTCCCTACTTCACATGATATCTAGAAAGTGGTAAAGTGCAGGAATAAAATAGAGTTGTGACGATACCGAACGGAGAAGGCCCGTTGCCTCTTCATAACCATGCGAGCCATGAGAAAACTCTATCGAAAACCTCTTGAAATTTCCTTGATGAAACTTAGGCTCTTAACTAGCTTTGAGAATCTTCTAAACTTCTTTAACCAAGATTATCCCACAATCATGCCAATCATGTATCATGGATCAAACACTTCTATCATACACACGTTCCATCAAGATACCTCAAAATAATAATCTGAAAAATTAGCATAATAACTGATCGGACAAGAAATTTAACTAACTTCCAACATTCAAAAAGCATTTCCTATTGTTTTTTTTTTGTGTGTGTCATTTCATCACCAAAGAAATTACCGAAATTAACGGCAATAAAAATTAATAGGAAACAATTAAAATAATTCTAAACAGAGGGGTACTAGAGCAGGATAAAAGGGTATGCTGAAGCAGATTGGTGCTAAACATATCACTCTAAGCCCATTAGCAAATTTTTCGTGAAGCAGTATGGCCAAAAAAATGTCCAGCCCAAGGTGTATGGTCCGGTCCAAAAGGGGAATTAGGGTTACAACATTGTGATTTCCTCTTCTTCTGCAAAACAACAGCGACACATAGACCTCCTCTTCCATCGTCATCTTCCTCCTTGCTAATTCCACGCTAAATAACACCAACTCTTCACTCTCTTTGTTTTGTTTCCGCCGTGATTAGCTTTTCTTCGAAGCTCTATCTCAGATTATCCGCGATTCGGTCTCGCTTCCATCTACATCATTGCAGCACATCCGGAAAACGGTCGCCGCCGTGTCACTCGCGTCTCTGCTTCGTCTTTCTCCTCAACTTCAATTTCGGATCCCCTTTTCAGCTTCTCCTTCATCAAACCATTCTGAATCTGTCAACAACACCGCTTCTACGAACATCACATATCGTATTAACTCCAACTCGATATCGTTATCCTCACGTTTCAAGTCGTTTCCTCTCAGAGTTAGAGACCTCGAACGAGACCCAAAATCGACACTCCGACGGTGCCTCAGACACAACAAAGATGCTTAGAACTCCAGAGGTTCTTTATTCAGGTAACTACATCTTTTCCAGTCTTGATTCTTTCTTCCCTTTTTCTTCTCATTTCTCGCGTTGATGACGTGCGTGTGATGTTGATGTGCGAAGTTGATGATGAACATTGAATATGCGGTTGGTGTTCATTGTTGTGAAGAAGTTGTGTGTATGTTGCATGAAGGACTGAGAGTGATGGTCACTGAAGGTTTTTGCATAAAGAGGAGGTTGGTGGTGAAAGAGTGAAGAAAGCTGAATGCAGAGAGAGTGGTGGAGTGAGGTTGAAGATGAAGAGTTTGGAGAAAGAGAGAGAGAGATTGAAACGTGAGTTCAAGTGAGAGATCCAGAATCCTTTTGGTTGCGTGAGTTTCCAACAGAATTATAAAGAGTTTTGTTAGAGGTTTTTGATTCTGTTAACCGTTAGTTAACAGTTCAGCTAGAGGTTGTTAGAGGATATTATGAAGTTAGTTAGAGTTTGGTTAACAGTTTTTTTCCGGTTAGGCTTGGTCACAGTTAGGAATGGTTGAGGAATGGGAAAAAAATGGTTAGGAGGTTGTTTTAGAGTTTGTTATAGACAGTTAGGGGCTTGTAGAGGCAGTTAGAAAACTGTTAGCATTCTGTTATGAAAATTAGTTGTTAATTATGTTGGATAATGATTGGTTATCATGAGTTTAATGCTGAAAACTGTTAGTTGCTGCAGAATGAGTTGTTTTAGTTCCTACAATTTCAGAAGCTGATTCTGCAACTGTTCTTTCTTCTAATTATCCTTCAAAGAACTTGACCTTCTAAGAGATTCCTTGTTTCTGCTCTGATTTATGAATTGATAAACCTTCCTATGAATTTTATTGCGTGAACATACGTTGAACGGTCTCGGTACGGAGCTGAACGAATGCAACTTCTTTATTTAGTTCTTTTGATTTTATTTTTTCATTGATACTGAACTGGTCATTTCTTTTTTGTTGAATGAAGGTTTGGGAATCCAAATTTAATGAACAAATTTTATGTTTGCAGGTATTCAAATCAAACTAGTTTAGGTATAAGTAGCTTATCGCATCCGTTTGTGTCAACTGATATGTGCAGGGAATTTTTTGGCTGAACTTGTTGGATTAGTACGTTGAATAACACTCTTTATGAACACATATGCCATATGTTAGGCACTTAATTTACCTTGAAAAATATGCACTTATTATGAAATTGTTTCAACTTTTAAAAACATGTTGAATTGTATATGTATGTATCTGTTATGCAGATTTCCCATAGTCTTTCGGGTTGAAATCATAGTGCACAGTGCAAGATTTTGATGGACATATCCTACAGCGGCTTGTGTACCACAGATGCCAATGAGCTACACATATTGGTTTGATGGATCAACATAGAAGCAACAAGTTCATAGCCTTATACATGACGTGCTCGAATCCTTTTAATGGAATTTGGAGTTTCGTATGAAGTAACTTTTGAATGAAAATGTTCTGTGTAATTCTTATAATGATGCAATTGTACTTTGTATGCCATCCTTATGAACTTTAAATGTGAAGCTTGAATGGATATTTGGACATAACTTGTATTGGAATCTTTGTAATGGTTTTTTGAATAGTCGAAAATCAAACCTTTAACAAAGATAAACAAACTTTGTGCAATATAGCCATATCAATGCACCCAAACATTTCTTGGCCTTTTATTTCAAAATTCCTTGGTTTACCTCGAATGAATCTTGAATGAGATTTTCTATTATGGATGAATCTTTCAACCTTAAAATATTGATCCACTTGAATATATTGCTAGTAGAACATATCCATATAAATGGGCTTTCCAATCTGCATGCTTGAATCGGCCATAAGGGATTCATAAACTGATACTTTGAATTATGCTTCTTGATTATTTGCCAATGGAATTCATAACACATATGATCCCTTGGCCAGTCAACGCTCGGTAAGAAAATGAAATCAGTATACTTCTATGGCATGTTTAATCAATGAACCTTAATCTCAATTGAATCCATAAATTCTAGTCATCTTGAATTTGAAACAACTATGATAAACACTCGAATGTTATTAAATGAATCTTTTTATCTTTTACCTTGGGATGAACAATGATATGGAATAATCTTGGAAGTAACAACTTGAATCATGGAGAGATTTTCTTGATACCATGTACTTTAATCTCAGCTTATATTCATGTGTCATCTTCCTCCGCAAGAATTTATGAACTAAACCTTCAGGCATGCTATTTCCCTTTTTTATCAAGTTGAACCTTAACCCATGTTTGAAACCAAAGTTCTTGCACAAATATCCAAACAATGGCTTGCACCACTTATTCATAATGCCTTGACCGTCAAGCAACCAAATTTACCATATAAAATATCTTGAATCATGATGTACCCAACCCTAATTGATTAACTTATGGATAGATGAACTCAATGCAACAATGACATAGTCAACAACCTATAACACAAGCATCATATGCGTCTTCGATTGATAACAAATCTTGATCCTTTAGAGAAATCTTAATACACCTCTAGTATTGACAAAACCTTGGCCAAATGATAAGCACGACGATAGAATGAGGTGTTTTGAATCAAATATCATGTATGCGAGATCACAACCTTAAGTTATTGACAGGAATACCCTACAACCTATTGTTCAGCGGTAGATAATAGCCTTGTAGCTTGATGGAGAAGAAATTCAAGCTGAACATTGAAACAAAACCCTAATTCCAAAACCTTGTACACCGAGAATATCCTGGATAATCAAACTTATCCAACACATGCACTTCAAATCAGTTGTAAACCCTAGCTTCCTAACTGCTGATCTTTTGAGCTTCAGGCGATCTATTTTCTGAAAAATGCGTGCTATGCAAATGACCCATTGGAATGATGCAGATGAATGCAAAGAGTCTAAGCCATAAAAGTGTAATTAGGAGGGCAAATTTTGGGGTGCAACACATGGTAGCCTATAAACGTGCCAACAAACTCAAAAATAAACTCGGGTCATCCAAATTCTGACTCTAAGCATAATTTCTGAAACCGTACAGTAGCAAAAAACGTGTCAAAAAGTTATTCAAAACTGAAAATAAAGTGTACCAAAAGCTACAAAATCATGGAGAGAGTCGATTTTCATTATTCACAAGTGTAAAAACTCATCACGGTTAGGAAGTTAGAGCAAATTAGTGTTTTTGTCAAGTGTTGAAACAAAATTAGGAATTGTGACATTTTCCATCAAACTCAAGTTTTTATGCATCAAGAGTCATTGTAATGTTACTTGGGCTCTATGGAAAGTGTTACAATACTTAGAAATGACCTATATTAGTAAGCAACACAAGTATGAACACACATTAACCAATCAACATGTTATGGAAACTTATACATGAAAATAAAGTGAGGTGAAATTGAATATTGACAACACAAAGCTCAACATCTATATCATACCATAAGCAACAATATCAAGTGATTAAGTATCAATAATCTAACTCAATTGTATCACAATTTGTAAATCAATTCTAATTCAAGTTTATGTCAAAAGATTAGTGAATTGGAACCACTTTACAACTTGTATAAAATCAAAGCTTATGTATTAAAATACATTCCAATGCATCAAACTCCACAAAGTTCTCAAAATATTTATTGAAACTAGTTAATACCAATGCATTAAAGAAACTCTTAACATCAATTTTCAACTCATGATATTGATTGAACAAAACCTTTTTTTGATTAACTTGTAAATTAAAGAACTCAATATAATCTCATGAATCAATTATCCAATTCCGATTTTCTTTAACATTTTGATATCAAGAATTCAATCAATTCACAAAAATTAGGATTTAAACTAACCTAAATGTTAATCTACATACTAATTCCTAATTCAATCCTTGAATTAAACCTAATTTTAATCTAATTCTCACTAATTAAGTCTCAATTAAATAATTACAATTTCAATCAACAACAAAATCAAGAAAAAGCACTTATTCTAAAAAGCGCTTAATTCAAGAAAAATCACCGTAGAATCGAAGAGGGGGATTAGATGAAGAGATCGCAACGATCGGAAGGCAAATTGGAGGAATAAAACATGCGAAACGGAGGGGAGGAGGATTGCGGATTCTGGCGATGGCAGAGGGTGTTCCAGCGGCGGCTGGCTGGTCGGAGGTGGCTGGTCGGTGCTCCGAGGAAAACCAGTGATGAAGAATTTATGATTATTCTTAAAAAAGGTTGAAGAATGTTGTTGAAGTTGTATGAAGTTGTTGTTGTGCTCTTGAGAGAAAACGTGAGAAAATTGAATTTGATTCTTAAGAGAATTGAGAGAGAGAGTTTTTGTGTTTGTGAGGATTGTGTAGTTATGAGAGAAATTTTGAATTTTTTATTTATATATAGTGGAAATGGGCCTTGGATGCACAATAGGGTTGGGCTTTTCCTTGACAATGTAATCTCGACATGTCCACAAAGTTCCACATCATCAACTGTACGAAATTTTGATTCGGTTGCAAAACAGAAAACAAAGATAAAATTTATGATGCATTTCCGAAAGAACATGCTCATTTAGATGAATGGTGATTTAGTTATGATTTTTTGAAGTTTCACCTCAAAAACTTATTTTGGGCTCCATTGTCAACTCTGACACGTTCTTCAATAAAAAACTGATATTGATCAGAGCAGAATCTGGTCTCCACTTTGAAAGAAAAGTTGTAGATCTCTGAGTCAATCACTTGTGTAAAAATATGGGCCCGATCCGATAAAAATTGGCTGAGTTATGAATTTTCGAAGTTTTGACCCAGATGAAATGATATTCAACATTCAGGATTTTCGGTGTGTCATGCGCACTCTGGGCAAAAAACAAAGGCTTCTTGGATACTGTTCGAACTTGGAATCTTCTGAGAAAATGTAGCTAACTCAATTTTTGTGAAATTTTGGCACCGATACCGTCGCGATACGGTAAAAATTGAGTGCGATATGAACTTTTGAATATCAGAAATCAATTCGACTGAATTCCAGTTCAACTCAAATATCTCTTCAGGAACTCAAAATTCCTGCTACTTTCCTTGTAGAATCATCTCTCAGCCATAAACGACGACATCAAGAGGACGTCGAGACAACATTTTAGGCATCGGAATCGCGCTCATACAGTGCTTCATCCGGGAGTTATGATTTTTTCAGTGCGCCCGAGACAACGGTTGAGCCAATTTTTTATCTGTATTTTCCAATGTTTAACTCTGATGGATTCACGTATTGGGAGACCTTCCTTTGAGAATTAGCCTTTGTCCCGAACATAGAAGTTAAAGAGGACATTGAGTTGGATTCAATGGAGAAATAACCACCTCAAGACAGTATACCAAATCGGAGTTATAAATTTCTGAACGCCAGAAATACTGTTGATTAGTAACCCAAAAACTTAGTAACGAAATTATTTGACCGTCTTTAGAGCATAATTGGCTCCCAGCCCGAACACGAAAAGTGAAGATAATAGGAATACAAACCCAAAGATCAAATTTCATCTTACAACGATAAAATATCCAAGAGTTATAAAATTCTGAAATTTTTCATGCCGAAATGGACTTTTAGCCTGAAGTGTTCCAAATCAAATAAAACCTCTGGCTTCCCTCTACAACTCAAGACATGATAGAATACACAAGAATTACGCATGGTAAGAAACCATTCATTCACTGACTGGGTTATCTATATAAAGCTTTGAACGCCTCTAGTAAGCAGTTGATGCCTTATAGAAATGTCTTGATCCCACAATAATAGGGCTAATAATATGCATATATGTATATGATAATGAAACACAAGCCAACATGAAGACGATAAATTTTGGGGTATAATAGCTACCCCTATTCAATCTCCTTTAACCCGATAAGTGAGAAAAAGCGATGGCTTTTGAGCGTTCAAGGTGGAAGGGAATTGAATACTTAAAAAACCCAAAAATTTGCGTCTGAGCGACAGGAACGCAACAAGATGGTAACAATATTGTTTGTAAAATGGATGATATTTTTTGGATATGACTTAGCGGGTAGTGATGAGAAAATGATGGTGTTTAGGCTCCAGAGG